TGCGGAATAATGCTAACAGCAAAAGCGCTAATTAGTGTCACGTGTCTCCTCGGTCCATTTCACTCGAATACGCACCGCGCAGACCTGGCGTCAGATGAATTCGTCGCCGCCGCGAGTTGTGGCGTGTCGACCAGGCCCAATATTTCTGGACTCCCCAGCACTGAGACCGTCCTTCCTCATGAGCAGGTGCCCCCGTTCCGCGACCGTAGGCTGTTCCGTCACGGTCATGCGCTCTGATCACCGGGAGAAACCCCGCTCTCACGTGGAGCAGGCGACTCAAATATTAACGAACCGCAACGGTGGTAACTAGCGGGACGTGACCATTGAGTGCCCTGATGAATGCAGCCATTTGCCACCAGGGGAGGTATCCTGATGAATGCATCCTCTTGAATGCTCCGACGGAGCGCTGAAAGACCTGCGCCAACGAGATGGCTTTCATTAAGGCTTCCTCGCACTGGTGGCTGCCGCATGTCATCAGTGTCGGGGGCGGCATGACACGCTGTCGAAGGTGTCTTGGCGGCACGCTTGACCCAGCTTTGTGGGTGAACCTGGTTAGCGCACGGCATTTGCACCTGTAAGTGTCTGCTTTTTAATATGTGAGCCCCAAACAGCGCACGCCGAACAGGGCGCATCGGAAGAGGATGGGCTAGATTGGTGCACTGTGCTTAGCATGATTGTCAAGAAGTTTCGGCACCCAACTGTGGACGTTATCGCGAGCCCAGCAGGATCTCGGTATGCTGGTCGAGGCTGCGGTTGGCTGCTTGGGTGCCAGCAGCGCTCACTGCGCCGACGCTTTGCCGGTGATCGAACCCACTCCGAAAGCAATGGAGTGCGGTCGCGATGGCGCATCGCTTTACGCAGGTCATTTCACACATGACAAGGTTCGCTGCACATCGGGGAGAGCCATCGCTTTGTTCATCTCTGAAAAGGCCACCGCTCGCTACCCAGGTTTCCGCTACCTGCAGCGATGTGCCCTTGCCGACGGCGCATAAGACCGAACACTAAACCTCGTGAGGCGAGACAGCGGTTCAGGCCATGCGTCGTGGGAGGTGCGGGCTGCCACACGTTAACGCGCGGGTTACTGTTCTGGGCTGGCTCCGTGACGGTGGTGCGCTGGCCGCGTTCGTCACGGGTCGCGGCATTTCGGATCCATGCTGGCAACATTCCACCTGCGACTGAGTCGGACCGCATGGTTGCAGCTGCATGGCTAGTAACCAGTCCGGCACGCAAAACAACGTGAAGTTCTCGCAGCCATGAGGCACGGGGGCCATGAAAGACCTGGTGGTGGCACCACCCGGATGCGTTAGCCCGCTGGTTTTGCGTGTCGGTCACTAAACGCGACGTTTTTGTTGCTGGAATGTGAGGGCACGGTTAAGTATGTGGGATGACCTGATGTGGGATGTGGGATGATCTGATCCGTATCCGCTCCATGAGTGCTGGGTAGGTTGGCGCTAGGAATCTTGCAGACTGCGCACATCCGACATCCACATGTGCTGAAATGAATTACTGTTGCTTCCACATAGCGTGCATGCGCAATAAAAACCAAACATTGTCCATATTAAATGCACCTTTATCTACTTCACAAACATTGCAACGATCCACACAACCCAACATACAGAATCACATTGTTCATTACTATGGGACAATATGATTCGCGATGATTCCGAAGAGGCCAGGACCATTTCGATCAGAAATGTCTTAAGACCTGCATCTGAAGACTGACGGTCTCAGAAGTGAAACGCGGTGCCTCGGTAACACCAGAGTTACGAAGCTACTATTATCATGCAGAATCAGTAAGGATTGTTCTCATCGCACATAAAAATCACACGATGGTTGTGAAATGCCGTTTAAGAGCGACTGCACACCTCAAGTGGGGGCAGATTTGGCCGAAGCGATTAAATCACCGACAATTACATTAACACATTAATAATTCGTGGCAACATTCTACTTGCTTCCCTGAATAACGCCACTAACTCAAATATTTATGGACGGTCCTCTGTAACGGCGGTCGACGCTCGCGCAGCCGGATGCAGAGTGAGGGGAAACACGCACACGCACGCACGCACACACACATACAAGCACACTCCCAACAAACGTCACCATCGTTACAACCGGCCCCCCAGCACCGATTCCACACGCGGTTAGTGCGCTTGTCACTTTGGCAAACCCCCTTGTGCGCTTGATGATGTTTTATGATAGACAGCAAAACGTAACGTGTAGCGCAATCACGCACCATTACGAAGGACTTCGCAATTTGGCTAAAGGAAATAGAGTCCACAGGAGCTAGGGGTGTAACGAGACTAGGCCACAGACGTCGGCAGCTGACTATGCCTTATGCGCCATCCATATTTTGGGGTGGTTTTCCGCGTGTTCCGGTGCATCACGGCTGAACTTGGAAACCGGTGAGTTAAGTACTGCGCTTTTGACTGGCATTTGACAGAGCGAGTCGGAGAAAGCTTTAAGATCATCGTGGACGACATTGGTGCCTCTGCCAGCATAAAAAACGGCCGGTTTTGAACACCTAGCCGGATAGTGCACAGAAATGGTAGACATATACTTGCTTGGCCACGTCTCAAGCAGTGATAAACTGTGACTGCAATGTTGTGTGGGCAACTCTCGCCTAGAATAGCCGGCTTCACAAGGTGTCTTTGAGCGAGAAGCAGTGCCAGAGACCGGGTAACCGTTATTACGCTGGATGATGATACCATTTGTTGGTGATCCCATGCATCCCCTCGGGGTTTGTCGTCTATGGTGGGTTGTACCAAAAAATGGGCGGGCTCAGTCTACCTCATGCTCTGCAAAAGTCACACTTCGGGCAATGAGTGGTCATGAATAGAGAGGAAGAGAGAAAAAGAGGGATCTATGTATACTTCTTCTGCCATGTCGGCTTTTCTTCCGGTGTGCACGCATACCTAGATCAGATGTTTTTGCCTGCAGCCGCTCATGCGCATAACATGCGGCAATAGCACAACCCATAAGCTAATTTTTCAAAATGAAATTTACGTTATGGATGCCCATCCAGGCAATGCTTGCCGCAGGAATTTAGGAAAATCATGTTGTTACAACCGGCAGTCGACTTGCTTTGGAAACTACGCATATGCTCCGAATGTATGAAAAAGCGAAAACTAGATCAACTGGCGTCCCCGCGTCTGACCGTGACGTCAAGATGGCTCGGAGTGCTGCGGCAATTTGACGTGACAAAACACATCAGTGATTTGCATAGACATCCGATTTATGATGGTAGCCGTGGCGAACGGTGCGTGTCGTTTCCTTGTCGCGAAAAGAATGCATTACGATTACCAAAGTGGATGGCGAGTGCTGCTGTCGGCTTGTGCGCCCGTGTAACACCTCACCATATCCCGGCGAGAAGGGCGTCGGGCCGCTGACGTGGCACCTCACAGTGAAACCATATCCCGGCGAGAAGGGCGTCGGGTCGCTGACGTGGCACCTCCCAGACGAAGTGACTGAACTTTGCATGTACGGCAACCACAGTGCTGGGTCAGACATCCTAGGAATTAGCAGGTGAGAACGGTAGATCGCACATTAATCCACAATGCACCCGAATTTGGGATTTAAGACGCTGCAAGGACGAAGCGTCAGGAAAAGTAAAGAATCTTAGGCAAACCGACCGAGTCCGCGGCCGTCATCGTGTTACATTTCTTTACCTACTGTACGTCACAAGATATCTCTTTCTTCTGGTTTCAGCGTGCAATTTCGAAAAAGCTTTCATTGTTTCGAAACACCTATATGGATAGCCATATCACAACGTTCTTCAACTGTAATTTCCTGGCACAAACATTTTAATCGAATGAAGGAATCATTTTTGTGGTAAGTAATCGCTGGAACTTGCCTAAAGCCCATAACATTGACATAGTCCTAGAAACTTCTTAAATGCTTTCAAACATTGCTCTCGTTAGACTATGCGAATTCAGCTGAGATAAGCGGTGTTCCATTCCCCCATTTGGTGAATTTTTAAAGGTGACACGATTAATCTGATATATGAAAGAAAACAAATTTAGCTAGGCATCTTGGTGATCTCATCCACAGCATGTGCATGCTCGAATAACCTACTGTCCGCGTTGGTATAATTGCTGACAGGGAATCAAGCCATGGTTAACCAAAACACTAGTTCAGAACCTTACACGTAAAGGAAGATAACCTACGAGCTTTTATGGGAACAGCTAATGTTTGACTTCCAAAATAAGGCATGGAAATCAGCGCCAATGGCATAAACAACTAAGGCGTATATAAAGATGCGAGCCGTTTGGGAAACATATAATATTTGACTTCCAAAATGAAGTCTCGAACTCAGCGAAGGTGCCGGTTACGAGTTGAAAGCCATTATGAGAGAGTCATTCTAAAAATGTCGAAGTTGGAGCCCGACGAAGTACAATTTTGCTTACTCTGCCAACGTCAGTAGCGGAGATAGAGACCTCATCCATGCGATCACCACCATTTGGTGGGACCGAAATAATACATCCTGCGGCATCCGCCCTCATCCCGGGATAAACTTCAGGCTATTGCAGCTTAAAACGCGCACAATATAAAACGTTAAGATGCGGCCGCATTAACAACACACCGGCGCGATCACTCGTCCCTGTACCCGTACCACAGACACATGTTGAATGAACCGTAACGAAGTGGAACGTGGTCATGGGACTTGGCCCCTGCAGTGAAGTACCATCACGACCTTCGCCCGCAAGCACGCTCACGGATATTGTTCGTATCACAACACATCCAAGAGTGAACGTTGTATAGGGACGACCCTGGGCCCGGTGCGTCGGGACGTGGGGTCGCGGCACCGCTGACACGCCCAAAGAGGCAACAACAAAACAGACACGAACACGGCGACGCCCACGCGCGCGACGTCCGACGGCCGGCCCGCCGCCTGCCAGCAGGCCACCTCGCATACAAACACCCGGCCGCGGCAGCTGGCGGCACTCGCGCGCCCGCACCCCCCGAATTGGAAGCCTCTACGGTACACGCGCGGCTATGTAACACTACTGCGTGAGCCTTTCGTTCTGGTTCTGTGGCGGCCGGCGGCCGGCACGGCCCACGCGACGGCGGCCAGCAGCGCGGCGACGACGCCGCCGGGCGAGGCCGTCGGCGCCGACGCGGCCGAGCGCGACCGGCCGGCGGCGCGGCCGGCCTCCGTGCGGCGCGCGTGCCGCCGCCGGTGCGCGGCCGCCGCTCTCACTCGCACCTTGTCGGCCGGCGAGTGTCTCTGGAGGACGCTGAGGCGGTGCGAGTCGGGAGGAGGCCACGTGTGGCGCCAGCTGACGCCCGGCGTCGGCTGGCGGTCGGGGCAGGCGGCGCGCGCGCGGCAGTCGCCCGGTCGACACTCGGGCTGCACCGGCTCCAGGCAGCACGAGTCGTAGCAGCAGCCCTCGTCGCCGTACTGGGAGCCCGTCGTGAACGGAACGATGTCGGGAATGTTTGGGTCTGTGGGCGCCAAACAGAGGCGGGTCAGGCCATGTAAGACCACGGGGAGAGGCCCAGTGCCTAGCACAGGACAGAAAGACAACATGGTGGTGCTTCACTGTACATTTAATCTGCATGATGTCGTACAACAATAAGCCTCACGTCAATCAACACGTCAACTGCAGCTCCACCGAAGCCCAACCGGATCCAGCCCGGCATCTAGATAACCCTGTTCCTGGTGTATAGCATTACAACGAAACGTTCCCGTGGAGCCCCAGCGGACCTACGACGCCACGCCCGTAGGTCCTCTCGCGGGAGACGAGCTCTGCCCCGTTCGCAGCGGCCCCCACTCGAGTGGGCCTGCCACATCGATCGAGCGGCCGTGCGGGTCGGGCCGAGCGATGAACTCGTTTCTAATTTCTCGCAGATGGCTGAATCGGCGGCGCCCTGCACAGTGTCCGGAGGTAACAGCGACAGCGCTGTCACTGCCGCCTCTGGACACGTGGGACACGTGGCTCCAGGAGCCGTGCCACTTCCGGTCCTGGGCAGCCGGCCGGAAGCGGTATCCGTTTGATGCCTGAATGTTTGTTTTTACTGCTTTTGCAAATCACTATTCTACAGCGAAGTAGATTACATTTTAAATGCATTACGTAATGCGAATGATGAGTGTGGGCTGTGATTCTCTGCTTTTTTACTAAAAGACAACAATTAGTAGCACGTTGAGCCCAGGAGGACTGTATGGGTTGCTGACATCTAAAGATTTAATCCAAACCCTCAGGATGGATTAATTTTTGGGATCATAGGTCAGTCTAAACAGCACTGGTTGTGTGAGCCCTGACCCCTAGCATCGAATCGTGCAGTTCCAGGTCAATGCTAGAATTCGATAACGACATTCTGACGTGCCGTAATGCTTAGTGCGGTCCACCCTGCCTTCCAACTTCACCTGTCCTTAAGCACGGCCTCTGCTACCGGCCGCAGGCCATGGCTGCCATGCGCAAATAGCGAGCGTCTAAAGCAAAAGGAACCCACCCCGTCACGGGCGGGTAGATGGGAACGTACGCGCTCTAACGAACTGAGCCATCAGGCGGACAATTCAGCCACCGGGACGGAACTGATACGGAGACGGACAAACAGGCTTGACCGCGGTGCCATAGGCCGTAACAACAAAACCCCATTCCATCAGCAGAAACTAGTTTATGCAGGGCAGAGGCACAGGGAGTCAACATTACGTTCGGGGCTACCATTAGGAGGAATAGATGTGTCGTATGATATATGTAATATAATATATCATGTCATGTGTCATGTCATATGATATATCATGTAACAGATGAGCAATAAATGTGTCAGGGCTATCATTGGGAGCAATAGCGATAATGATGATGGCAGCTGAGTTGAAACGATGTTATCACACGCGATATTAAAGAGCTTAGCTTACGCCCATCACAGGGACTTCTCACACGAGCTTTGCATAGACAGATGTTGCCTTGTGATGCAGGCCGATTAACGCCAGTCCCAAGGAATTGATCATAACAAAAAAGGAAAACACAACGAAGGTACCACAAAAACGGCGAAATAGTAATGAGGATCCTGCTATGAAATCAGCCAATCACTTGGCATTTTGAAAATAATTAATAAAAAGTCATAGAAATTAGTATATGCTGGTTGTAAGAAAACTTTCTCGCCGTGTCTCCTCTTGAGTACCCACATTTCCGGAGATCCAAAACCTCGGCTCCATCCGTCACCACTGTGTGAAACGTCAGTGGTCGTCTGTCACGTCTTTCACGGTTCTGGCCGTCCCACCCGTCTAACCCGACTGGTCAAACGTTCTTCTTCAGACTTTTTTGCACGCATTCTTTGCTCCTCATCTCTCATCCTCATCTTTCCCGGCTGGTACACTGCACAGCTGTCGACTTTGTTACGCCTCCCATGTCCCCTGAATTCCTTCCTACCCCATCCTACCTACCCGGCTGGAGGGCCGTGGTAGTCGGTGGACTACCTGTTATGTACTCCTGGACCTCTTCCCCACCCCGCTGTCCCCAGATGGTGTACTATCTGGCTGTGGGTTGTCTGTCATGTCTTCGATGCTCCTGGAGCTTTGACCTTGTCTGTCACGGCTGAGGAACCGTCCGACACGACGCCACCCTGGGTGTCTGACAATACCCCAGAACACCAGGAGCGGACACAGGCAGGGGAGATACGGCGGCTATGGGTCCCCTCCCTTGATAGCTCGGACTGCCAATGGTGTAAATGAAGTGTTTACGTACAAAGGTCGTCCCCAAAAGTTCGGAACAACCCCTCGATCACTCTGCCTGGGTCCGCCCTTGATGAACGCCCCGCCCGCCCGCCCGGTTGGCAGACTGTCCATCTGTGGCCTATCTGCTCCGACTTCTACACCCCGGCTCGCTCGTGCGGGCGCCCTGGCTGGCGGACTTGCCGTCGCAGAAGAAGGCTGGCTCGCCGGCGTACTGGGTGCCGGCCGGGGACCTCTCCGACGGCAGGAAGAACGGGCACACCCGCTGCACGCGCTGGCAATGGCTGCGACAAGGCCGGAGCAGGCGGCCCTCCTCGCTGTGGTACGGGATGTACATGGAGCACAACCAGTCCAGGTACGCCTCCTGCAACGGCGCAGAGACGCGGTCAGCGCCACGGAAGGGGGCAGAGCGGAATGAGACAGCGAATCCCGCGGGAGGACATACATTGCGTGTGGAGTCAGACGAACGATTGAGTGGTGGGATTTCCAGGCGTTTAAGGATTGTTTTTGGGAGCCGAGCCGAGCTATCGTCATAGAGTTAAAATAAAGTGGCAGGGGTCAGGCTACACAGACGCATTGATGTTCCGTCTTTCCGTTCCACCTAACACGGCGTTAAATATATCGTGTTTTCGCATCCCTAAATGTAACTCCCAGAAGAAGGCCAGTGATGGTAGGCCTCTGCAACGCCATCCGATGGAAGTCTCATGAAGAAGGCAATAAAGGGTGAGTACTGGAGATGCCTTTGAAAAACAACTTTCCTCGACTGCGTTTTTGCATCTTGATATATTCCGTCCAGTAACCTAAAGCTTCACTGGGGGCGAAGGCTGGCAGCGGATGAATCTTACTTAAAGCGCTGGAAGATATTTTTCGAATCGAGCAGCGAGGCCCAACACAAACATTCAGCATTTAGTAGTTGACACTTTGCGGCCAACATTCGCAAGTTCATTTTGCTTTGCAACGAGCAATATCACTCCAACAACTGTAATGCAATGTAATGTGATGTAATACATTCAAGCTTTATTAACCCCATGAAAGTTGTGTAGGCACACGTACCGTCTTATGAATTGCGTAGCCAGCTCAACCGCTTAGTTAAGTTTAGGTTACTGTTTAGTTGCTGCCTAACCCTTAAGCTTGACTCAACGCCAATTGAAGGGAAATAAATGTTATCTTTTCAACTCAAATACACGTCGTACCTGCAACACCAGTCCGCAAATGGAAGCTAGGATTCAGAACCGTGCGGCCCAATCGGCTGCATCTATTGTTCATACCAGAGGAAACCTACCAACTACTCAGGAAGAGTATTTCTCAATTTTCAAACCATTTACCTTATCATTTGACCAAGGCAAAATGATGTTGTACTCGATAGATAATTTTCCTGACAGCTTTGCATGATCTCGAAGTCTATTTTTAGTTTCAAAAAACGGAACCCGAAGTATGCACATGGTCGTTTTTTACGCTGACTGATACTACGTTCATAAAATTGTGCTCACGATTCTTCCAACAAGCTTTCATGGGTTAACTTGCCTTTCATTTTTCAGCCACGGGTCCACCACCCGTACGACTGAATGATTGTATTATTGTTTCTCCAGAGGTTAACAGAGCTTTCACGTGCAATCTTCGTATCGCGACCTTCAGGACAGCGCGATTGCTGCTCACCTATTTATGGGCCCACTACTCATCTGTCAGCGTCTGATGCTCTGAAAACTGGATTACAGCGACCGTAAGCTCGGTGGTTGAGTAGCTGTAGTAGTAGTAGGTGGAACGGCTAGTTGGGAAGACACACAGCTTAAGAAATTACCGATGGAACGATACCGATTCGTTCATGCTGGAAGAGCTATTTGTAAAATATTTCCTGGGTACAAAGGTGAGTGTATTATTCCTGTTAGTCGGATGTGAAAGATGATCATGATCAATGATAAGAGCCCTGTGTAGATGGTCCAGACGAATCTGGCTCTATTTGACTTGGTTTAGGCCTTGAACACATGACGATAACGCCTGTCTCTGTTCAGCCCACTGGAGTAAAACGAAATCAGCCACCTGACTGATATCCAGTTATTGTCTGTCGAATGATGTTGACATTCTCAGCCTTGTTATTACTATTTTTTTAAAAGAAGACTTATGATGTACATTGCGTTAGCAGGGTTCTAGAGCGCTCTAGAGCAACGAGTCACACCGCCTTAGAAAAGCGACTAAAATAATGAGCCCACATAAATCGCTCACCGACAAAGCAAAGTCGAAAAACTGTAGTCGCAAACTGTAGATGCGTCACTTCAATGAAAATTGCTAACAGAGATGTCTGGCTCAGTTTTCAGCTGATGTGACCGCCTGTTCTGGTCTATCCTGAGGCAGGCGCAGCGATGTTCAGAGTACTGAAGCGGTGCCACACCTTAACGAAACAACTCATGATGCATGCACACCACACAGAGCGAAAAATTGAACGATGGTAAGGAGGGCACGCATTAGGTCATTCGGGCTGTGAAACTTGTCTATTTCGAAAGCACATTTTTAGACGGTTTAAAGCACTTCTTTTTCCTAGATAAACATCACACCAAAGTGAAGTTAAACCAAACCGCAGCCCACAAGCATTAAGCCATGCTTTCTCCAAATCTGCAACCATAGCATGGCCGACCGAAATTCTCAGTTAATAGCACGATCCGGGGAAAATCCTCTCGAACCTCCGCCACTACGAGACTTCCATCAGATCTTAAGCCCCTCAGTAACCTCGGCAATCAGCCAGCCTCTATCGAACTGGCCTCCGGCCGTCTTAATTATCCGCAGGCATCTGCCGAATGTAGAGTATCACCGTGCCGTGCGTCATCCTCAGGGGTTCAGCGAATGCCAGGCGCACAATCACGTCCCGCCACTCGACCGCGAGCAGTTGTGCCCTCTCCACAGCCTCGAATCGGCGCACAATCTGCGGATATTCGTAAACTCTGTGCGAGTCAGCCCCTTTCTCAAAGCAATGTCACTGAACGGCGTCAGACTTTTCAGATCGGAACGTCAGCTCTTCGCTGCTATCTTGTGTCTGACATCACATCTGCCCACACAGGCCAGGGTTTAGCGCCAGCGCCCGTGTCACCCGCCCGTCTTCCTTATTCTCGCTTTATTCTGCATCCTCGCGACGCCCCACTTGTCCGGGGTTAAGCTGTACGCACCAGCCATGAGTGGGATTAAAACCCCGGCGAGGGCCCGTCAGAGCGCTGAGCACGTGCCCCGCATAAAGATCCCTCCACGGGCTTGGTTTCGGTGGAAGGGCCTCCATATAAATTTGTCCCATCATCATCTATTCTCCTTCGTCCCATAGCCCTGAAATCTTCACTAATGACCGAAGAGGTTAAAATCCCCGCTCCACAAAAAGCTCGTGTTTCATTCGCCTGCATCCATCTCTGTCTCTGTAAGCTCTTTTTTGCACCATTAAAGTATCTTATGGCTCCGTGCATTCTTATATACGTTTAAGGCCTGCTTTGCTTTTATATGTTCTTTTGTGTTTAGTTGGCTTATGTCTTCCTTTAAAAATTCCCTGCACGTCTAGCGGTCGTGGCAAATCAACAATAAACACCTGGACTCTTATATGCCGTTCACACTTATTAGATTGACAAGTTTCAGGCGCAACATTGAAATATTATGCTCCCTTTTTACGAACAAAACAGTTAATGTCAGTTCTTATACGGAGAGAAGTGTTAAACGGTTATAACATTTATGGACTAGTTTGAAATTCAAGCAAGCTGCCTTTGGACATGTCCCTGAGCCCACGTTCAGCTAATGAACTATGTTTCTGTATGACAACCGAGGACCATTTTGTGCGGACATCTCTTAGGTCCCGGGATCTCAAAAAGTGCCTCACTTCATAGTTTGCCTCAAAAACATTCTCTTGGTCTGTGCGACCAAAACAAGTCCCGAAAAAGTTCGCGGGAGAGTCGTCAGCAAGCCAAAAATATGAGAACAATCATACTGCGCTACTTACCAGTACCTCAGCACAATCTGACGCATCTGGTCAGAATTCTGAAGCAGGTAATTAAAAATGATCGATGCATTTGGATAATAAATGTGTGCCAGAATCATTCTATTTTTTGGCATTTCCAAATTTTTGTTTATCCTCATCAGAAAGAATTAGAAACAGAACTGCCACAACCTGTTGAGATTACCTAAGTAACAGAAGCAAAGCGAGCTAAATCGGCAATTTTTCTGAGCTCAGCATAATGTCCAAGAAACCCGACCCTACGTCTCGGAAAATCGGAACACATGAGTGTCTCATACATGTGTGGAAGGTGAAACATGCAGCATGCCAGCAATGACAGCGTGCTTACCAAATTTTAGTCAAATTAGCGTCGCTGTACCATTAGTCTTAGAAGGTTATTTTTCCGCTTTTATTCCATTCTAAAACATTCTGTTCTCACAAATCCGCGGCGACAACTTCAACTTTCTTGAGGCCAGCGACACACCACATCCTCTCACACCACTGCATGAGCGTGCCACAGGGCCTGAGCCCCGCAGAAACGATGAAGAAATGCTGGACAGAAAGCTTGTCCAGCATCCTCATGCTTACGCATTGCAGCTCACGAGGTAAATGCTTATAACAATATTTCTCAAGGACTTCCTGGACGGCAATGAGTCAAAGCATAAAGGTGACAACGGCGCGCTGAAAAAGAAAAGGAGCTTTCAAGTGAAAAGAACTTTTACTTTGTGTCAAAATACCTAAATGCCTTAATCAGGGGCGCAGCCAGGATTTTATCGAGGGAGCTCGGGAGCCCGGAGCTCGGTGGGAAAGCATCAGTGAGTACGCATCACGCCAATTTTTAACTTTCTTTCTGGAGCCCTGTATGGCGAAACACGAAGCATCCAATCCTTCAGAGGGGTCCGAGCCCTGGGCCCCTCACTTGGCTGAGCTCCTGGTCCTAATTCAACACAAAGCTACAGATAGGTAGAATTATTTCTGCGACTACCGGCTTCACCAGCTGCAGAAAAGCCCACATATCTTTCTGCGGGGCACGGAATAGTTCTTGAGCTGACGACGAGCCCACCTGCAGAAGGTGTCGCTTCATGCCAAAATCAATCACATTGGATTTCAATCCCGTGCTAATTGCTTAGGCTTAGACTTTCCTGTGATTCCAGAAACAGGTCAAAGGCATTGACTATGTTGCCGATGACAAATTCAGACAAATTATGTCCCTTAAGAACAACAGATAGACAAGGGTTCTCCCACAAGCCGTGCATTTGAGGGACATCGATGCTTTTAGTCATTTGGACTTCTCTTTCCACGCGACTGTCGTAGACATAAGGTCAAATTGCACACAGTTCGGGTTATATCCCAGTGATCACCGACATATTCTCTCCATGCAAATATCTTTCTTCAAATGTGAGGCG